GAAATTAGCTGAGAGCTGCTTTCACTACACTAACTTCCAGAGCAGCTAACTGGTATTTCCCCAGCTCAAAATAGTGGAAAGTCGAGGGCTGAAATTCAGACAATGTCAAATGTTTTCATTGTGAGTCTATAAGAAAAGCCTGAGCATTTTAAAGGATGAATCATCAATTCCAATCTCTTAATTTTATATGTAGGGGAACTGAGGCCCAGAGATTTGTCTCAAACCACAAGATTTTAGCTGAAATGAGAACTGCGATCTCCATACTCCTAGTTCAGTACGTTTCCTACTAACCCGCATTTCTCAAGCGCAGCCTCTGGATTCCACAGGATGCTAACAGATGTTCCTCTGAAAAAGCTTAGATATGCTAAGACACCTCTGGGTTAAACCAAATTAAATAGTGTCCTTGACCTCAGGACCTCTCAGCCTTCCCTGGGCTCACGTGTCTTCTGAAACTCTGAGAGCTTTGTACAATATATGAAATTTTCTCAATTTATTTGACTATAGAAGCACTTCTTTCGATCAAGTATCTTGAAGCAGTCCTGGTCTAATGAGCAGACTTTCAGGAAGACTGTTGCCCTTGGCTCTCTTCAAGGTTATTCTGCTTCAGTGGTTGGGACCAATTGTTACACCCTTAGGGGGAGAGCACCAAGTACTATAACTACAGGGAAAAGGAGCATTAGGACCGTGAAGCATCTAAAACAGCCAGCTCAAGGCCACAGAAGCATTGCCTCATCATTTTATTCCGCCTTGTCCCTTAATATGGCAGCCTCCAGACCCACACCCACAACACGAAGAGTCATTTGATGTCCCTCTTGCCGGATTGCTACTTTGTAATGAACATTCCCCTGTGTCAGGCACTGTGCAAAAATCTTAAAGTGATTATCTCACTTAATCCTTAAAACAACGCTATGAGGTAAAGACTCTTAGCATCTCCACTTTAAACTTTAAAAATCTCAGACTTAAAGAGGTTAAGTAACACGTCCAAAGCCATACAGTAAGTAATGGAACTAGATTTTGAACCTGTAGCTGCCCGATGCCAGATTCAGTTGTATGATTATGAGATGATGTTGCCAGTATAAATGATCTTCTTTTCCCTTTATCAAAGCGTTTATTCCATTTATCACTGAGACAGAGAGAGAGACAGAGATTTCTAAAGAAGTTTTAAGGATTGTAGGGGCTGACAAGTCTGAAATGTGCAGTGTAGGCCAGCAGGAGTCAGTGTTGTAGTCTTGAATTTGAGGGCAGTCTCGAGGCAGAATTCCTTCTTCTGGGGACCTCAGTCGTTTCCCTTAAGGCCTTCAACTGATTCGATGAGTCCCACCCCTGCTATGGAGGATAATCTGCTTTACTCAAAGTCTACTGATTTACATGTTAGTCACATCTAAGAAATACCTTCATAGCAGCATCTAGACTCAAGTGTTTGACCAAACAACTGGGTACCATAGCCTAGCCAAGGTGACACCTAAAATTAACCATCATACACTGTAATATACAAAATTGTAAAAATATAGATATCTTAGATCCTATAGTCCAATTTCCTTATTTTTGCAAATGAGGAAACCAGTCAGGGAGGATAAGCCCCCAGTTATACATGTGCATTCACAGGAGAACGTGCACACCCAAATTCCCAGAACCTTTCATAAATTGCTCACTGCCTTCCAATAAAATTAAGTGGAAAAATTAAATCCTTCCAAAATACCATTTATTTCCATTTTGAAGACTTGATTAGAAAAATTCAGCAAGCAGTCAGTTCATTTTACTACTTCTCTCCAGACTAATGATCCCAACACCCCAGATGTTGGGACACCTTCAGAGCAGATGGGGAGTCTGGAAACAGCTGACACAGTTCTCCCAGATAGCAGACTTCTCCCTTAAGTCCACTCCTCTCCCTCCTACGCCATCCCCTCAACATCTCTAGACTCACCTCTCGCTTCTCAGGCTTCCTCCAACTTGATTGCTCCTTTTGCTTCTGGGCTTACAATCAAGCTCTTCCCCTCTGAGGCTGAAACACTCTCTCCTCAACACACCCCCACACGTGCCTTTTGCCTAGCTAAAGCCCATTCCGCTTCAAGTGTCAGCTTAGACATCTTCTCCTCAGGAAGTGCTTCCCCCATCCCCACCAGACTGGGTTAGATGTTCTCTTCATGTGCCCCCCTGGCATGCAGTACTGACCCGCTGATATTTACTACCTGTTTATTTATCTATATCCCCTCTAGAGTCTTGTTCCGTGGTATTCCCAGCATTAGAGTCTGTCACATAAAAGACATTTAATAAATACTTTTGGGAGGAAAGAAGGAATGAAGGAGAAAGGAAGGAATTTCTGTAGACCCTTTCTTGCACTGTGCAGCTTATATCTAATAACTAGAAACAGGCTGTGATGGAATTTGCCCAAAGGACTGTAGGGTGTAGAGTAACTTTGGTCTTTTCAGGTGCTAGGAAGTCTCCGTCTAGTGACTTGGCATCTTGGGGATCTGCTTTGCGTCTTTGGATGTTGACAACACCAAGGAGTTATCAGTATAAGGTAACAGGAGGCCAGACCAGGGTGGCAGCAGGAGGAATGGAAAGGGACACATGAGGGGGATATTTCATGGGTAAATTGTTCTGTATTAGGTGGGATGTGAAGGAGAAGGGTGCAAGATCAGGAAGTCAGGAGAATCCAGTTTCTGGTACGAGACAATGTCATCAATTCCATATTGAATTTTAAGGCAGTAAAAAAAATCTAAAATATAGTTGAAAATATAATACAAAGCCAAAAAAACCTATAGCCCTTCACAAATTTGTCATCTTTATATCAATTTCTGTTTCAAAGAAGGGTCAAGACTGGCCAGTAGGCAGAGTAGGTATTGCCTACATGGCACGCCTTGAGGGTCATCACAAAGACTCTTCTCCCTTTGCTGTCTGTCATCATGTCACCGTGCCTGGAATTTTGTAATTAAAATGGAATTTCCCATGTATCATCAAATATACATTCCTGCACATATTACACCTCTGGAAGAAAAGATAAGAAATAGTAACACTGGTTACCTCTGGTAAAGAACGATTGGTAGCTTGGAGGCCATAGGTGAGAGAGAGATGTATCTTTTACCGTTTATACTTTTGTACCCATTGAAGCTTTTTATTTATTTATTTCATTTTTATTTATTTATTTTATTTTTATTTATTTATTTATTTTTTCTTCTTCTCCCCAAAGGCCCCAAACACATAGTTGTGTATTCTGGTTGTGGGTCCTTCTAGTTGTGGCACGTGGGATGCCACCTCAGCATGGCCTGACGAGTGGTGCCATGTCCACACCCAGGATCCGAACCAGCGAAACCCAGGGCCATCAAAGTGGAGCGTGCGAACTTAACCACTCGGCCACAGGGCCAGCACCCCATTGAAGCTTTTTGTCATGTACATAGATTTTTAATCTAAAAAAAGAAAATTTTCTTTTATTTTTACAAGTTGGAATTTGTCAGTGGGGGCTTGATGAAATAAATTATAGTACATCCATTAAGTAGGATAATGTGCAGTCATTAAAACGAAAAAAGATAGCTTTGATCCAAAAGAGGTATTGATACAAAAGATGTCCATGATGATTTGTTAAGTAAAAAACAAAATTGAGAGTGTAAACATTAAAAATTCACCCATTTGAAAATAATTGTATTTAAATATTTGTTAGTGTATGCATAGGGAAAACCTATCAAAATACACACTAAACTCCTAGCATTGATTATCTCTGCAAGATGGAATTAGAGGAGACTTTTGTTTTCTAAGTTACACATTGTGATGCTGCTTGAACTTTCCTAAGAAGTATATTACTTTATAATCAGAAAAAAAGATAAATTTTTATGACATACAATTAGCTCAAGAATGGAGGGAGGGTCATCATCTTCAGCAGCTGGGGCAAATTTCACACTCTCAAGACGAAAACCAGGTATGCACTGGGGGTTTGTGCATTAAGTCAGGGAGGTGCCTTAATATTGTCTTGGCTCACAACAGTCCCTCGATAATGTTAAATAATTGAATTTATCATTAAACTCAATAATGTTTAATAATTGCACTATAGAGTAGCTACAACTTGTCTTTTTGTTTCTGCCCTTCAGGCCATTGCAGTCTAAAGTAATATCATCATCTGCTTTCTCCTCTTTACTGCTCCCCAACAATCCACTACTTTTCTTTTCTTTTTTTTTTTTTTGAGGAAGATTAACCCTGAGCTAACAACTGCTGCCAATCTTCCTCTTTTTGCTGAGGAAGACTGGCCTTGAGCTAACACCCATGCCCATCTTCCTCCACTTTATATGTGGGGCACCTGCCACAGCATGGCTTGACAAGGGGTGTGTATGTCGGCACCAAGGATCCAAACCTGCAGACCCCGGACTGCTGAAGTGGAATGTGCAAACTTAACCACTGCGCCACCCGGCCATCCCTAACTTCTTTTCTTTCCTTTTCCTTCCCACTCCTCATCTTCTCAGCCCTCTTTTTTTCCCCTCTTTTTTTTTTCCTGCTTCAGGAAGATTAGCCCTGAGCTAACATCTGTGCCAGTCTTCCTCTTCTTTATACGTGGGTCACCACCATAGCATGGCTGACGAGTGGTTGTAGGTCTACACCAGGATCCCAACCGGTGAACTGGGCCACCAAAGCAGAACACCCAACTTAACTACTAGGCCACAGGCTGGCCCCTTTCTCTCTTTTTTTAATTGCCCAGTGGAACCACAAGAGGGCAGCGGCGTCATGTATAAGAAAGGCTCTTAGGCATCGTAATCATAAAAACCAAAGGAATAAAGCCATTATAAAAATGTTACCAAAACTTTAGAGAGTTCAGCATCTTGCTCTGAATATCTGTGTGACCACATTTAATATTCTGTTAGAAATGATAAACAATGAATGGAAAAGAAATTCACACTAGTGAGTGGAACTAATGTATTTCCCTCTCTTCCAGATGTTGGCCAAGAAGAGGTGAGGCAGAAAAGAGAACCGGCTAGAACCTAAGACTTAATCCTAATGTAAATTCTTGGACCAGGATGGAAGGGGAATCATACCACAATGCCACCACTGTCAATGGCACCCTGGTAAAGCACCAGCCTTTGGAACGCCATGGGTTGTGGGAAGTCATCACCATCGCAGCTGTGACTGCTGTGGTAAGCCTGATCACCATTGTGGGCAACGTCTTAGTCATGATCTCCTTCAAAGTCAATAGTCAGCTAAAGACTGTTAACAACTATTACCTGCTTAGCTTAGCCTGTGCAGATCTCATCATTGGGATCTTCTCCATGAACCTCTACACCACCTACATCCTCATGGGGCGCTGGGCCCTTGGGAGTCTGGCTTGTGACCTTTGGCTTGCGCTGGACTATGTGGCTAGCAATGCTTCCGTCATGAACCTTCTGGTGATCAGTTTTGACCGTTACTTTTCTATCACAAGACCCCTGACATATCGGGCCAAGCGTACCCCGAAAAGGGCTGGCATCATGATTGGCTTGGCCTGGCTGATCTCCTTCATCCTCTGGGCACCAGCAATCCTCTGCTGGCAGTACTTGGTTGGAGAGCGGACGGTACCACCAGATGAGTGCCAGATCCAGTTCCTCTCTGAGCCCACCATCACTTTTGGCACTGCCATTGCTGCCTTCTACATCCCTGTCTCTGTCATGACCATCATCTACTGCCGAATCTACCGGGAAACAGAGAAGCGAACCAAGGACCTGGCTGACCTCCAGGGCTCTGACTCCACTGCTGAAGCTGACAAGAGAAAGCCAGCTCACAAGGCTCTGCTCAGGTCCTGCTTTAGCTGCCCTCGCCCCACACTGGCCCAGAGGGAAAGGAACCAAGCCTCCTGGTCATCCTCCCGCAGGAGCACCTCCACCACTGGGAAGCCATCCCAAGCCACTGGCCCAAGCACCGAGTGGGCCAAAGCCGAGCAGCTCACTACCTGTAGCAGCTACCCCTCCTCAGAGGATGAGGACAAGCCCACTACTGACCCTGTCTTCCAAGCGGTCTACAAGAGTCAGCCCAAGGAAAACCCAAGGGAAGAATTCAGTGCTGAAGAGACCAAGGAAACTTTTGTGAAAGCTCAAACTGAAAAAAATGACTATGACACCCAAAAATACTTCCTGTCTCCAGCTGCTGTTCATAGACCCAAGAGTCAGAAATGTGTGGCCTATAAGTTCCGATTGGTGGTAAAAGCTGATGGGACTCAGGAGACCAACAATGGCTGTCACAAAGTGAAAATCATGCCCTGCTCCTTCCCAGTATCCAAGGGCCCTTCAACAAAAGGCCTTGACCCTAACCTCAGCCATCAAATGACCAAACGAAAAAGAATGGTGCTTGTCAAGGAGAGGAAAGCAGCCCAGACCTTGAGTGCCATCCTCCTGGCCTTCATCATCACATGGACCCCTTATAACATCATGGTCCTAGTTTCCACTTTCTGCGACAAGTGTGTCCCAGTCACCCTGTGGCACCTGGGCTACTGGTTGTGCTATGTCAATAGCACTGTCAACCCCATTTGTTATGCCCTCTGCAACAGAACCTTCAGGAAGACCTTTAAGATGCTGCTTCTCTGCCAATGGAAAAAGAAAAAAGTGGAAGAGAAGTTGTACTGGCAGGGGAACAGCAAGCTCCCGTGAAAAGTTTACAAGTCCCCTCACAGGAATGCCCATGTTCAAGTTCCTCTGAGGATGGGTAAGCTGATTCTGGCTTATCTTCAAAAAAGACACCTGTTATTTTGAGCCCCTGTAAAGGCTCGAGGTCTGTCGCCAAAAGGAAGGAGTCATGGCTGCCACGATTACTGCCATACTGAATAATTTTTGTCTATGACCAAGGTCACCTGATGCCATTGGAGTCTGCCATTGAACTAAAGAGACAGACTCATGGCCCTGCACAAGAGGAGACTGCTGGGTCTCAGTGGGCACTGACGGACCGAGCTTTCGTCTACCCTTCTGTGAGGAGCAGCAGGAACTGGGTGGAAACCTCCCCCTGGGGCAACCTGCCATGGAATTTTGTGCAATATATCTGTATCTATGAAGTTGTCTCACACCACCGAGAACCGGGGGACTGTAAGTCAGTGTCATCTGTTAACACGAGTGGCATTCAACTCGCTTCTAAGGCTCTATTTCTTTATAAACTGATCAATATTTATTATGCAGCTATTATGTCCACTGTACTGTGGTATGTTTTCCTGTCCCTACATCTGAGCAAAGCTCTTGTTCTTCCCTTTCACAACCAATGTCAATTCCTGCAACCCCCTAAAATCATGCTGGTCCTCAAGGAAGCATCCTTCCTCCCAGAATCCTGGGTCTGGAAGGACAGTGAAAGCTGGTCATACCCAATCCTGTAGAGGGGTCTCTATTCTGCTAAGAATGATGATCAAGTCTCCACAGCCAGTTATTTTAGCTTTTACTAGTGGGAATTTTTTCCTTTTATCTAAACCAATATTGATTATTCCATTTTGTGCCCATTTGAACCCATTTATCCACGCTCCGTTCTTAGGAAGACTAGTTGTAAAACAGTCCTTCAGTGGGGAAAGCTCTTCTCCAGGCTAGTTCATCGCGGTTCTCTTAAACTGTTTTCAGAGCTCTTACTTTCTCATCTCTTCACAAGGCAACCTGAGGCAACATGTGGAAAACGGATTTGGTTTCACTCCAGCTTTGGAACTTCCTCCAGAGCCCTTGTGCAGGCCCCAGTTTCCTTCATCCAGACCCCAATTCACACCCAGGCACAAGCGGGTCAATGTGCTGCCTCCAGCCAGAAGTACTAATTGAGGGACAGTGGGGGAAAGGCTTCATTTTTTTTTTCATAGGTCCTTTAAATCATGGCTTGGAAATGAATTATGTATTCGTTTCTCTCCAAATTCACGGTCAAAGATGAAAGGCCCAGAAAAGTAAAGTTGAGGTCCAGTAAAGCTGGCTATGGTCATCCAAAATGAAAGCCTCATCTTTAAAAACAAAATGTAGGCCACAATAATGTATAAAAATGAAAGTTTTCAGCATACATTAGAGTAGCAGAACTGTTGCAAACCAAATTTAATTGAAATCTCTGTGTATATAAATAAACTGAACCAGTCTCTTTGATAATTCTGAAAATAACCCAAAGTGCAAGATACTGAAAGTATAAAAGAGTGCATAAAGTTAATGGAAGATCCACAAAGAAAGTGGCAGTGCCGTACACAGTGAGGATTTAGAGATGAAGCACCCCCGTCAGACAGCTTGTTGATGACATCTGCAGTAGTGTTTAAAAGTCTCCAGACCGCTCACTTCACGTAGGCCAGTTCTCTTTCAGCCTCATTTGCTAAGGGGATATAGAAAGCCCTGGGTTGGTTGTCCTGGGAATTAGGTATGCACTCGAGTACAGGAGAGCTTCACCCTGCCACTAAGGAGCAAGTCTGCCTCTCACCCCAAGTCCCATAGAGGCTCCGGGCAGCAGAAACGCAGGCCTCTCCTCCAGCCCTGCAGGGACTTGATGTTGCAATGAAACATCTCAGGAGCCATGAAGCTGCTGAGCCTTTGAGAAGGGCAGGTTGACACTCGCCAAGAATTTGGTAGAGAATATTAATTAATTGGCTCAGTTCTCCAGGACAGAGGCTCCCAGGCCTACATGATGCCAACAGGGTGTGACTTCTTCAGCAAACCTGCTCAGTCAGTCTAGATAAACAGTTGATTCTTTGAGTCTAGGGCTTTGATTCCTAACAAAAATGAAAATCCCTCCAAGAGAACAGCACTTTAAGCCCGTATTGGATATTTACTGTTCACGGTGGAGAGAGAAATAAGCTAATTCAAACAAAATAAGGCAGAACTGGGGTGGGGGGCAGTAGGAGGCTGCTGGGGGCAGACTTCTCACATTTCACAGCTGCCTAGGAGTTAGCCTTTTTTGTTTACCTTTTGTGAAATTAGTTGAGAGGCCCATGCTTCCTTCTTTATCATTCCAAGTGGGAGGCAGCCTGTTTTGCAGACTACTTACCCTCCTTGACACAGACGAAAAAATGCCTCAAACTACTAGCGGAAACTAGACTTCTTTACAGTAGGGCCTCCGGTGGGGTCCTCAGAATGAACAGATCCAACTGTAAACTACAGGGACCTGGCGGGTGGGTTGGTGGGCATGGGCCGACTTCAAATCTTAAGCCTTCTGTGCCCCCTGTCTCCCGAGCTCTGTCTACGGTAAACTATGTACAGCTTTGACTAGTTACCTATTGGATGCTGCTATGTTGCTAACACTGTGGTTTGTTTCTCCATGCCTGTGAATTTGATGGCTTTTCGAGGAATCTGTTTCCAGTACCATTTTTGGTTGAAGCATTTTGTCAATATTCCTGGCCCCGCTTTGCTCCTTTGGTGAATGTCCTTTGAGGGAGATATTGATGTTCGGCTCTTTGTGATTGTGAAATCTGTATCTAATCTCTGGATTGGAATATCCAATTGTTTACTGTAAATACTGGAATTACAGCAAAGGATGTGGGGACTGGGCTGCTTTTCTATATCATTCGAGCGTTGTTCTGGGTATTAAAGAAATTTAACCACATAGTAGTCCAATGCAAAGTGTTTAAATAAGAAAATGGTTTCAGGTTAGCTTGATAGATCCAGCTATATTGGAGATCCCAAGCACATTTGCATGGCCTGGCCTCTTAAGAAGGGAGAGTTGATACCCAATATAGATACACGTCCCTCTTCCTACCCTCGTGACTTCCCTTTCCTCTCAGTTACCAGTAACTAAATTAAGATGAAATAACGATGACAAGATTCTCAGCTAAAATGATTCTGATTCCCTCCTGGACAAGGGAAGCAGGCAGACCTCAAACCATGGCCCTTTAGCCAGTGCAGACCCTGCAACAAAACAGAACAGCAGCATTTCCTCTTCACTCGCTCAAGGAGCTGGGGTCCCAGTCATTTCATTCTCATTTTAAGTGACACTAATTTCCATCTCCCCCATGCCATTTCATCAGTAAAGTTCGAAATGCTTGCCCAATAAGGAATCCAGACAGTCAGTGGGAGGGGGAAGAGAAATAAGTTTTTTAAGTATCAGGGAAGGAGCCAGAAAAAAATTTTAACAAAATAAAACTTTCTTTTTTGGGGGGAGGGGGGTTGCCTCTGAGTTAACATCTGTTGCCAATCTTCCTCTTTTTGCTTGAGGAAGACTGTCCCTGAGTTAACATCTGTGCCAATCTTCCTCTGTTTTCTACGTGGAACGTGCCACAGCATGGCTTGATGAGCAGTGTGTAGGTCCGTGCCTGGGATCCAAACTCACGAACCCCAGGCTGCTGAAGTGGAGCATGTGAATTTAACCACTATGCCACTGGGCTGGCCAGAAACAAAACTTTTTTAAAAAATAATTTTAAACTTAGAGAAAAGCTGCAAGAATAGTATAAAGAACTCCTATGTCCTTCACCCACATTCCCCAATTGTTAACATTTTGCCACATTTGTGCTCTGTGTGTGTGCATGTGCCTGTGTGTGTGTACCCACACACATATTTTTTCTCAACCATTTGGAGTAAGTTGCAGACAATGTATCCATTGACCACTAAAAAATTCAGTGGGGTATTTCTTAAGAACAAGGAGATTATCTTGCATAACCACAATAATAAATATAAAAATCAGGAAATTTGACATTGCTACAATATTATTATGTAATACGTAATTACACAATTATGTCATATAGTCCATACTCAAATTTTACCAGTTGTCCAAATGATGTTCACCATAAAAACTTCTTTTCCAGTTCAGGATCTAATCCAGGATCACACATTGCATTTAGTTGTCATGTCTCTTTAGACTCCTTTAATCAGGAAGGAGTCCTCAGCTTTCCTTTGTCTTTCATGACATGGTCATTTCTTAAAAGTATATTCAATCCAATTTAAAAAAATAATTTTCATCAGTTTGGATTTGTCTGACATTTCCTCATTAGATTCAGTTTAATTTGTTTGTTTGATTTGATTTGGGCAGGAATATCACAAATGTGATATTGTGTCCTCGGTATATCACATCAAGAGGACATGATGTTTTATCCCATTATTGGTGATGTTGACATTGGTCAGTTGGTTAAAATGCTGCCCCCACCTCCCACCCAGGTTTCTCGACTATAAATTTACTGTTTTTCCCTTTGCCATTAATAATTTTAGGAAAGAGACTTTGAGCCTATGTAAATTTCCTGTGGGACATCAGGTTTTCATTCAATAATTGTAGCATCTATTTATTATTCTCACTCAAATAAGTTATTACTATGATGATTGCCAATTGGTTGGCATTCTACTGTAAGGAAGTTTTTTTCCTTCTTTATATTTATTTATGTACCTATTTATTATCATTATGGACTCATGAACTCTTATTTTAGTAATTGCTTAAAATCCATTACTGTCATTATGTCAATGCTCAAATTGTCACAAATTTAGGCAGTGAGAGCCCCTTCAAATTGACCCCTGTGACCCTTTGACATATCCAGAACATGTTGTGAACACTCCCTTACTTTCTGGTACAACAAGATGTTCCAGGCTCATCTTTACTCTCCCTACCAGCCCAGGAATCAGCCATTTCTTCAAGGAGCCCTGGTTTAATTAAGTAGAGAATGGAACCCTACTCAGATCTGGATTCAGGATATACTCACTGCTATCAGGCCCTTTCAGTGGATGGAACTAAGAAATAT